AGATTTGTGAGTGTCATCCATCAAACTTCAAAAGAAGCCCTGTGACTACAAGGGTTACACACACACACACGCACGGAAGACCGCAACCCCCAACGAGCGAGCGACAGACACGCCAGACACGCCGAGCGACCCGAGCGAACCACCACCACCACCACCACCAGCCAAGGAACAAGACCGCCAGGAGGTAGAAGACGAAGTAGGCCACCTGAAGCAGCGAACGACACGAGCGAGGCACGAGCGATACCGACGGAGGCCCGCAACCGCCCACGAGCGACCGGCAGACACGACGGACATGAGCGAATGAGTCCAGCATAGCAGCGGCTCAGCAGCTGCTCAGCAGCAGCAGCAGCAGCTCAGCGGCTGCCCAGCAGCAGCGGCTCTGCGTGGTCGCCATCGCATGGCACAGCCCAGTCCGGTCTAGTGAGACGTGAACAATTCTGATCGACAGTGCATCTTGATGAGAGACAGTGTCTGTATTGCTGTCCCAGTGCTATTTCTTCATCACACGCTGCTAAAACTTGCTACAGCGGACAGCTACGGCGGCAGTACCAAATCACAGCATCAGCTGCGGCACTCGGCGACGGTCTTCCCTCTTAAAGAGGAATTGTGGTATAAGTGAACTCTGTGAGGCTGCAAGCCAGCATCGTGTCTCCTCCAAATCACAGCATCATGCATTTTTTTGGGGCACTCGGACAGTCTTCCCTCTTAAAGAGGGAATTTCGGTATAAGTGAACTCTGTGAGGCTGTAAGCCAGCATCGTGTCTCCTAAGTGTCCATTGAGGATACGGAAACACATTCAAACATGGTTTTAATTGCGCCTACGATCAGCTTGCGTCACCCTCCAAGCCAGCAGCCGGCCGAAGAAAGGCCACCTGCTTTGGCCATCAATCTGCGCCGTTTCCTCTCCTGGGGCGAACGGCCCCTGCTTATATAAATCTCTACACAAAGGACTTGCTGGGTTGTGGGCGTGAAAGCACTTCTACTCGGCTGACATTGTTGTTCAGCAATTCACCGTGCGGCGGCGGTGGTTAACCATGGATGCAACAAGAAAAAAATATATCATCACAGACCAGCCTGCTTGTGGATCTCTGCGCTGGCCTTTTTCAGGTCAGCTCGTAGGCGCTTCCGTTCGTTTTTGAGCTGCTGAAGAGTATCCGGCAGCACAGCTGCTGGCACTTGCGCTCCGCTGGCACTTCTCCATTGCGTTCCGCCGGTGTATCGGCCATGCGCAACTATCACACAACGGTCGCTTGGGCAGCTGGTGTTTCAACACGCAGCGGTCACATGGTTCGATGAAGGTGCTGTGGCGACATAGAACCCCAAAGCATAACACTTTCACCAGCACCCCATGCGCTCACACAGGTTGCTAACTGACAATGAAAAGTCATACACCCCCCCCACACAACGATGAGGCCTCCTCACTGTGGGCCCTTACAGGAAATGGTACCCAAAAGTCGTGCCACAAAAACACACCAATTACAGCTTCACCACTTTGGACCCCTATAGTATATATATATAGTGTGTTTCTGTGAATGTCGCTATGTCATGCTATGTCTCGACCATCCACGGTCCGGAAGCACCGTGTCTCGCAACATCAACGAAACCTCCAAACTGCAAAATCCTCCGCCCATCCCATGTTCGACCCTGCGGCAGGGAATGTGCCGCGCAAAGCGCGCGGGCATGGAGGTCTCCCTGCGCCCTGTCAAAACGATGGACGAAAACCCATGGAACAAGCGGGGCATCAGCTTTGAAAAGCTTGGGTCGGAAACTGTCTACATGTGTTTCCTGATGCTAGGGCACTCTTGACGATACTTCATTAACAACCTAAGGGAAGTTGGCTGGGTCCACGAATTTCAGAGGGTGGACCACCTCTGGATCTTGGCCTTTTTGTTAGTATATGTGCTTCTGAGAACTCCTACACCACACCATTGGAGCGGCCTAGGTTTGGAACACTTCATGAATGTTCGGTGGCTCATCCACCAACACAATGTGTGTGTGTGTGATTTTTTTCAGAGTCTAGAGCCTGTAAAAAACAAACAGGCACCTAATCTGATGCATCATGGATGTCATCCACTCCCACAAAAACTCCCTGCAAAACCCCTGCGAAACCGGCATCCACTTCTGCTGTCATCGCCTCGAGTGTCGAAGTCCGTCGACCTGTCAGGCGCTTCGTCCCAGGCATCCCAGGCGCTTGGTCCGGAGGGGGGTAGGCCGCTAGGTAGCTACTAAAGCTATTAGGAACAACTGCCACGCTACTAGTAACAAGTGCCTTACTAGTAGTAACAAGAAGCTACTAGGAACAAGTGCATCGCTTCTAGTAACAAGTTAGAGAGGGAGCTAGTAGCCACTAGATAGCTAAATAGGACGCAGGACAGCTCACGCTTCTTCAAGGAAGCTCCTGAAGAAGCGCTCGAACTATATAATCATTTGGTTCCTAGATGTTTAGGGAAACTTATATAACTGAATACTGATGGCCTCCAACCTAATAGCAATGGCCTCCAACCTAGTAGTAATGCAGACTCTTGATGAATAAAGGCCCCGAGACATGGATCGTTTCATACAGGGGGTTGAAATATATACATATATATAATTATCACCGCTATTATATATAGTCAAGATAGTCAAGATTCAAGAGTCTACATTAGATTGCTCCCACCATCGTCGATGCCAAGGCAAACAGCGTCCATCCCAAGAAAAGGATTGGCAGGGGAAGCCCACGACATGTGGATCACACATCAGATCATCATTTTTATCGTTGAACCTATGTCCACATCTTCAAGGTCAGGTGGCACAAGCCGAGGGATATCCCAACTACTATGCCTACGTATGCAGGCGGAACTCAACCTACATATGCCGCCTGACTTGGCCAAGCGGTCTTCCAAAAGTTGCGGAGTCGGAGGCGTTGGCGTAACTGCTTGTGTCCAGGAGTGTACTGACAGCGGTGTCCGAGATTTCACTGCTTCCTGCAGATGGACATGGACCTGAATGAGTGTCTTGTCAAGGAAAGCATGTACACTACTTCCTGGAGCCGACGGTCAGGGCCCATGGTCCTTTCTGAATGGACCTCCCTTCGGAAGTGAAGGAATTCATTGAGTTCTGAAACAGAATTGCTTGGATTCCAGAGTGTTGTACCTCTCGCTTACCTAGTAGCAAATCTACTCCCCCGCACTGCATTCGTCAACAGCCCCATACTTCCGTGCACGCTCAGGTACTTAAATACTTAGCATGTGCTTCTCTTCTCTACATGGTGCAAGAAAGAAATGGCTGGCAAATTTTGCACGAGGGATAACACGGTGTTCACTCCCAGAAGCTGGGAGAACACCTCTTTCCCACCCAAGCTGTGTTAACGTAGCAGTGACACAACGCTTGTCTGCACCCTTCTGGACCCTTCTTACCATGTCAACAGTCCTCGAAGGTCCAAAACCCAAGCATTGGGATGGTTTGAGGAATGCAACTGCAGCATGTCCCAAAAGACTGCAACTGCAGCCGACAGCTCCTCATGTCCCAACTGGAACCCAGGACAAAGACAGTGGTCGGGGGCACCAGCATCGTCGTGTCTCTCTTGTGTTCGTCTTCCACAGTCCATCCGCTGCCGGGGATGAAGAACAAATCCCACTGGATGGAGAACAAGGCGAATCCCAAGAAACGGGTGGACGCTTGGTGTCTTTCAAAAGCGCCCCCGCCTGCCCGGCCGGAAAGAGGGCGTGGACGCTTGTGCCAGCGGAACGGCTGTGTGGGGTTGGTACCTGCCATGGGACAGTGCAACGTGGGTAGATGCTGGTCATCGGTGAAAGCCTGCATCACTTGGCTGATGGGAAGACCAAAAACGGATTTGAAAAACGGCAGAAACAAAAAACTTGGCTGATGGGAAGACATGTTTGTTCGGCTAATTAGATTGCTTTCCAAGAGGATCTGTAGATCCTGTTTCGGTGGGGGATTCGTCCATGAATGCCCGATCATAAAAAGTCACATGGTGCAAAATAATGAATAATGCGATAGTGAATCCCTTGTGAGATGAGATGTTGCCACGTGGACAGAGATAACACGAGACTGCAACTCTCAAGCCTCCGGAACGTGAGAAGATTTCTATCAGAGCCACGCCCGCCCATGTTGGTGGGAGACATGTCTTTGCCATTCATTCCGGCGCCGTCTCGCCGACGGCCCCAACGTGTCTCGTCGGCCTCGACCATGGAGTTTCCTCAGGCCTCAGACGGGGAAGCGCCGGAGAAACGCCTGGTATAAATGGTCGAGGCACAGCTGTTTGACCCTCTTGAGGGCCTCAAAGAGGACATCAGGTCTCAGGTCCCTTCCCGTGAAATTGACACAATTGTGGATGCAATGAACTGGATTGAACGAAGTCCAATTCATTTACCTCAAAGCTACCACATGATGAGATGCATGCCGTCTGCATCTCTTCACTCCGTATAGGACAACACGAAGGCACTTCAAACGAACTGTCGACCAAACAAATACATAGAACCTGCCGACTGAGAAGTTCCTTGCCCTCAGAACTTGCTGAGCTTCACATGCTTCACCCAAACAAGAGGTTAAATACTGGCCAAGAACACTCTTCGTGCATGACTGCATGACCCTCATCTCCCACACATCCTGTGGCCCCTGCTGTTGCGGCAACCCGACTGGCTGTTGTGGCACTGCTTGGGGAGGCAGCTCCGGCACGGGGACCTTGACTCTGACCATGTCATGGCCAACGGTTGGACCAAAGAATAGTACAACAAATCAGTCATCTCGAGATCTTCCAAAAAACATAATTCTAAAAAAGCTGTTAACTGGCCCCTCAAAGCAAGCTTCTCTGGCGGTCATAAAGAATGGCGAACCCTTGGCAAAGCCCAAGGCCTTGCTGGTCGTTGGCCAAGCCATGACGGCAGCGTCTTTGCTGGCCCAGCTTGTCAAAACAGCTGCGGGGACGATGACCAAGTGACCCAAGCCGACCCGAGCTGCCCAGAGGTCAAGACCAAGTTCAGAATGAGAAGCGGAAACGATGCCCAGCACGTTTTTGACTGGCGAGACTAAGGGACGGAAAGGACTGGGGATCAAAACCCCATAATAACCTGCGAACACCCAAGTTTACAAATGGATGCTGGTCACAAAATGATTCCACAATACAAAGGGTTCCATGTTATGAAGCATCTCAAACCAGCTCTGCTTGACCCCTGTGGAGATTGCGAGACCTGAGGCTACAGAATCCAAAAAAGAAAACTCTTCAGCCCTACACACTTGGAAGCGTCAGTCTTGCTCCTCACGGCCTTTCCGTTTGAAAGCGAGAAACATGAAATGTAGGAACTGTACAAAGTGCCAACAGAGAGACTTCCTAAGAGTGTGCGTGGGAGATGAACGCTAGCTGGACATTTTTGGCCTTCTTGCTTAGCATATATTACAAGCTATTCAACGACAACAGATCTTGGTATTGAAAGTTTGGCCTTGCGCGAAAGCCACCGACTAAGCTTCTGTGAAATCCTAGGTTGACAGGAGAAGAAGCTCCGGTCTTTTTGTACCGAGGGTATATATGCATTGTGTGTTCAAGAAATCGAACAATGTTGCGTAAATTGGTAGCCTGTTTTTTCAGGCTGTGTTTACTCGAAGGAAGTAGTTGTGCCTCTTCCCATTGGTAATCAAATGGTACCGGGTAATTCTGTGTCTTGCTGGGAATCCGAAACTCTTCAGCCCTCAAAAGAGCCTCCACAACCCCGAATCCATTACCACTCTCCCACTCTCCATCCACTGCCAGATCCCAAGCGCACAGGAACACACCCTTTCGGGTCACCGCCACGAACTCCATCCCGCCTGACACGGGTCCATGACGCTTCTCCCCATGACGGACATGACCAAAACCGAGAAAATAGCAGACCCATAGTAGGAGACTCATCCGGGTAGGCCATCTGTTTTCTGCCATCCCGAAATCAAAAGGGGCACACTCCACCCGCTCACCACATGATTCTCAACTAATTGAATGAAGAGGATAGCACCTAGATGCACTTTGTCCCGTGGAAGGTCTTTCTTGGCCGGATGGGGCCAGCGTTCCTGTTCTGCTATACACATACATCGCTGAAAACACACAAATATGCACTTTCTACGCCTGCTTTCTGTCTGTCTGTCTGTCTGTCTGTCCGTCCGTCTGTCGGTCTGTCAGTCGGTCTGTCCGTCAGTCTGTCCGTGCGTGCGTGCGTGTGTGTGTGTGTGTGTGTGTCAACCCCTGGGCCAAGGGTTTCCTACCGCCAC